ACCAAACAAAGTAGTTTCGCTTTCACAACGAAATAGTGTCACACATGGAGGGCTAGAGTGAGCAGAGGTTGCAGGCTTGAGAACGGCACGGCCGGCGGATTCGACGAAGGAGTGGGCTTGCGGCAACCACATGTAACGACCCCGGGCTGGACTCCGCTTCATCCACGGTGAAAGCCGATCCGGCGATCCACAGCGCGAAGTTGTTGTATTTCCTCAGCGACCAGCACGGATCAGCTCCAGGCATGACGAAGCAGATATCATCCTCTTTTGGAAGACCAAACAAAGTAGTTTCACTTTCACAACGAGAAACACTCCCTTCACGACATGGCGGCAGCAACAACAATACTACAGCTAGAATAAAAGTTACGCCTTCTTTCTTTGCGTGAACATTTGGGCGACGTTATGCAAATCTTCCCACATCGTGACTCAGACATGTGGGGGCGTTTTAGAACGAGCCGTTTTAGGTAGGTGTGGCTGAATCTTAACTTTTATAAAGAATATCTCTTTGGATTTGAGACTTTAGTCTTTGCAACTTTACAGATCTTCTTTATGCACCAAGAGCTTGTAACACTTCAAAGAAAAAGGAAAAATTGAAATCGCATCATATGACCCCTTTAAGTGCAATACTAAATAATATTACAAATCTGATCTTTTATCTTTTTATGCACTCATCTGTACCATTTTGTGAATAATATCGATGTATACTATATGACTTACCCAAGTCTCTTGCTTCCTTACGAACATCACTCATTTGCCTAATTATGGGCAAATTAGTGTCATCCATCATAGAAACAGTGTTAGCAGGAAAAACAGCAACCAGACAGTGAATCCTGTCTTTCAGAGTGGGGTTCTTGTTATACTTCGGGTCTTCTTCGGTAATTGGTTTTAATGGGTTAAACTGATCAAACAAATGCACACAATAAACTATAAGAATATATGGAACTGAACATGGTTTGTACTATAACAGATCAGTTGAAATGGTGTAGTTTTTCAACCATGACATTCCTATTGTAAAGTTTCAAACCATTCACAGAGTTTTATTAAATATTGTAATGTTTATGAAAAAAAAAAACTTTCATAAAAAATCTTCATGTTTACATTACTTGCTTGAAAGAAAGTTCTCAAATTAAATTCCACATTAAAGGGGTAGTTCACACAAAAATTAAAATTCTGTCATTAATTATGCACCCTCATGTCGTTTCAAACCTGTAATCCATGTGACATCAGGGGTTCAACCATAATTTTACGAAGCTACGAGAATACTATTGTGTGCAGAAGAAAAAAAAACTACTTTATTCAACAATTCGTCTCCTCCACCCTAGCACCATTTTGGAGAATATCTGCTGGACATAAACAGCGTATGCTGTTCTGTGTCAGCTGGGTCACTCCGGATCTGTTTTCTACGTTGTTGTGATTTGATTTGAACAAAAACAGTGTATCCGTGTGACGCAGCTGACACAGAACAGCATACGCTGTTTATGTCCAGCAGATATTCTCCAAAATGGTGCTAGGGTGGAGGAGACGAATTGTTGAATAAAGTCGTTATTTGACATCAGGGGTTCAACCATAATTTTACGAAGCTACGAGAATACTATTGTGTGCAGAAGAAAAAAAAACTACTTTATTCAACAATTTGTCTCCTCCGCAATACCCTGTAGCAGCAGTTTGGAGAGTATCAGCTGGACATTCACAGCGTATGCTGTTCTGTGTCAGCTGGGTCACTCCGGATCTGTTTTCTACGTTGTTGTGATTTGATTTGAACAAAAACAGCGAAGATGAACGAAGATCTTACGGGTTTGAAACGACATGAGGGTGTGTAATTAATGACAGATTTTCATTTTTGGGTTAATTAACCCTTTAATACACGTACATTATAACCACTGTTGATGTGACCGTTTAATAATTTGATGATGTCATCCATCTTTATTCCTCTATCTTCACTGTGCATTCCGGCAATGTCAGTGAAATTGAAAGGAAAGTAGGAGTCAGGGCTGTCCTTCTTCACTTTATATGTTTTGCACTGAAGAACAAAGCATAGATTTAAAAGCCTTACTTATATGTTAATACTATAAGGATACATAGATTAAACTTACTTTCACAGTGAAACTTTGACCAGTTTCTACTGCATGTGCCAGGGCTCTGGTAGTGATGCGGCCCTGGAGAACATTATACACAGAGTTGAAAAAGCTTGATTTTCCAGCACCTTGTGGTCCATGCAGAAGAATTCTCAGAGTGCCAACTTCTGAGTTGCAAGGTTTGAAGATGTTTATTGCTGTCAGTAGATTTTGTTTATCCTCACTAGAGAAAGGGAGTTTTAAAAGTAGGGGGAAACATTATACTATAGGTCTAGAAATTTATGTTATGAGAAGGCTTATAGTCTCCTATTTTGGAAATCGACAAATAAAAGCATGAACTAATGAACTTGCAGAATAAAATAAAATACAAGATGCAAAATATTTACGAAGACTACAGAATTCAATAGAATTGCACCAAATCTTATCAATTTATTTGGAAACTCTCATAAGTTGTGCTACGAGAGACATGAAACCAGCATGTAGGAAATCTGTTGCCTAAGACAGTGGTCACGGTCATTGCAAAAAATATAGTAAGGTAGAATGCTGTGATTGCCCAATAAAAATAAAGTGTTCAAGAGTTGAACAATAAGCATACTCTGTTGAAATAGAAAAAGTAGTTTTCAGAGCTTACTTCCAGTCCAAGGACCTCCAGGGTTTGCGAAACTCTGTTTAACCAAAACAAATATTTAGTCAATTTAAATTTTCTTTATATTTATTCATTTGGGTTATTTTATTTTTGACGTATATATATATATATATATATATAAAAAATTGTACATAGTAGATTTTACACTATATATTTTACTGAGTGATCATCCAGAATGAATTATGCCCATTTGTTTCACTGTACCTGGAGATGGAGGAGGAGTGGGTGGTTTGAATTTTTTAAATAGCCACATCCTAGTAACACCTTTGTCTTTATTTTGAAATAAATATATTAGTTAGAAATTCAAGTCATCAAAATGCAGCAAAATAAAATATAATCAAATACCACAGTCTGCCTGTGGTATTTATACATTTGTGTATGTTCTTCCCAATTTCATCCTACCTGAACACCTCTTTCCTCTTTCCCTTAATTTATTTTGTAGCTTATGTCAGGGTTTTGGATTTATGTTTTGTCATCTGCCTGTGTGTCTTCCTCTTTTGCCCCTATATGGTTTTGTTCCTGTTCTGTTTAGTTCAATCTCGTTTAGTTCATTTGTCTCATTAGTTAACCCAGCTCACCTGTGCTACCTTCATCTAGTCACCTATACAAGGATTATCCTTTGTTCAGTTGAATTGTCCGGTATTACTTGTCATCTTCGTCTTTGGATCTATATTAAATATTTGAAAAGCTAATCTTCGTCTTTGTGTGCCTTCCCTTTACCAGAGTCGTGACGGAATACCAGATCACTACAGAGTATAGCAGCGATCTACCCTGCGTTTTATTTGATCGTTTAATGACGGTGTTTTCTTTTGTTTTTTTCCCCCCATGGATCCTGTAGACCTTTTATGTTCTGTTTACCAAGACGGCCGTCCTGTGGAGGAATATGTCGCTGAATTCCTCACCTGCTCTTAGCAGTCTTGCCTCGACCTGTGGACACTTGTGGACTGTTTCTGGGGTGGTCTGGATGAGGGGATCGCAAAGCGGATGCCACTGGGCGGGTCCAGGTGGACCCTGCCCGATTACATCAACCTGGCCCGGTTCCTCAGCAGATCCCGTCTCCTTGCCGCCAGCCCAGAAGCATCACCCATTAAATCCATTAACCCCCCATCATCACCCATCATGGCCGTCAGCCCAGAGCCCAGTCCGCTACCACCCCACTACGCGGAGCCCTTGCAAGAGCCCACCGAGAGCCATTTCCCGCCACGATCAATGAGCCAGCACAGTGCAGGGTGAATGAGCGGAGGATCACCCCAGAAGCAGAGCCCATTCCGTCTGACCAGGTGCATGAGCCGGCTAGAGCATCCCCAAGCGAGCGAACAGCGGTGGAAAAGGAGGGAGCTACAAGCAGCTCTGTCTACTGCAACACCGCTGAGGGTGGGCTAGAACTGGACTCGGGGATTAATCTGGATGAGTTTGCCGATATGCCTGATCTTCTGCCTCCTGATGAACCTTATTTGAATATCCCGAAATCCCACCCAACCTCCCTCTCCCACCACCTCTTCATCCATCCTCAAAATTGCCACCACTGTCCACTGACAGCCCCTCAGCTCACCCTCAGTCCACCATCAATGCTGTGGATTTGCAGAGGGTCTGCCAGTTTCTATCAGCATCAGGGCTGAAGGATCCTTCACCTCCTCCTCCAGCCTCCGAGTCCCGGACTCCCGTTGACCCAGCGGCTCCACCTCGGTTCCTAGCTCCCTCACCTCCACCGTCGCCCGTCGAACCACCAGCTCCACCGGGCTCCCTCGTTCCTCTGGCTCCGCCTTGGTCGGGTGTCGACCCGCCATGGCCTCAGGACTCAGCTCCTCCGGCTACACCTCGTCACTTTGTCCCATCGGCTCCGTTGGGCTCCTCCCTCCCTCCAGTACCACCTTGGTCCTCAGTCACTCCGGCTCCACTGCGGATCTCTGCTTCGGTTGCCAGAGCACTCGGCTCCACCCTGGCCCCCCGGATCCTCGGCATCCCCCTGGCTCATTGGCTCTCCGCCTCGGGTTCCTCCTCCACCTGCTCCGCCGCTGTCAGTCGGCAGCCCTTCTTCCACCATGGCTCCTCGCTCTGTTGGCTCCACAGTGGGCCGCCATCTGGCTCCTCCTACTCCAGTTCCCTCCTGTCTTCGTCTTGGCTCCTCCCTCTGTCTACTCCTCCAGGGTCCCTCAAGTCTCCTCCTTGGTTCCTCCCTCCGTCAAAGTCGCCTTGGTCCCTTCTGTCTCCTCCCACTCTTCATCCTCCTCCTAAACCCCTGCCCTCCCTCCATCGTTGGCCCTTCTACGGCGCAAGGTTGCGCCTTTCAGGAGGGGGTCGATCTGTCAGGGTTTTGGACTTATGTTTTGTCATCTGCCTGTATGTCTTCCCCTTTTGCCCTTATATGGTTTTGTTCCTGTTCTGTTTATTTCATTATCTTGTTTAGTTCATTTGTCTCATTTAATTAACCCTGCTCACCTGTGCTACTCTCATCTAGTCACCTATATAAGGACTATCCTTTGGTTAGTTGAGTTGTCCAGTATTATTTGTTTTACAGCTTGTTGAATACCCTGTCACCTTTGTCTTTGGCTCTATATTAAATATTTGAAAAGCTAATCTTCGTCTTCGTGTGCCTTCCCTTTACCAGAGTCGTGACAGCTTATTTGACTCAAAGTTAGATCTACCTATTTTTTATTTCCTTTGTTACTTAAAATGACAGAAGCTCATTTCAAAACAATTTATCTATGCAGATTTTTAAGTGTTAGGCTTAATTTGGACAGAAAAGATTTGATATATTTTTTATTAAATGTACAAACATTACTATCACTTTAATGTACTTGAGGAACAGAACATTTCATTTCAATCTTTAAAGTAACTGAAAAAGAGGAGATTAGAGGAGGTGATAACATTCCATTTTTGCTATAAAACAAAATTTTCATTTTCACAAATAACATTATTCATCATTCACACAAAAGAAACTCTTAGCAAGTGTTATAAATGACTGTTGCAGTTATCACTTCATAAATTAAAATAAAATTTTAGCACCTATACCCATTAGCCCTGAAATGCCTTACATCTTATATTTACAATTAACAGATTTTTCTTGAGGAGATGAATCTTACCTTAGAAGCAGTCTGAGATTGTGTGATGTTTTGTTCTCTTTTTTCAGGAACCTCACCCATGTACTTTCAGTTTTGTGTGATGTTTTGTTCTTTGTTTCAGGAACCTCCCCCATAATGTACTTTCAGTTTTGAAGTAACTACTTTTCAACCGTCACTTTAACAATGGCCAGAATCAAACAGCAAATAGAGATGTAGGAACAGTAAATCTGTCAAACTATTAAACTCAAACTATTAAAAAGACTGACATATCTAATATAATACAGATTTATTAATTCAGGTAATGGCAGGTTTCACAGAATACCCTTCAGATAATCATGAAATAAAAAAGAACAACAAAAACAATCTATATGCCCACACTGGAAAATATGTAAGCATTCACAGGGTATGTGAGACCAGGGTATGTAATAAATCTAAAGTGTAAATGCGGTCTAAAAAGCAATATTTAAAATGATTTCAAATAATGTCACATTTTAAACAAAAGTGTAGTCTTTTTAAATACTTTTAATAATCAGCAGGTTCCCATTGTGACAAGTTAGCATGTAGTCATGTGGAGCATGTTATGTTTCCATATTAAACTGGACTGGTATAAAATATTTATACATCAAACAGTGTGCATGTGTGTGTGTGTGTGTACTGATATTCACTACATTATAGGGACCCCAGTAATTCCAGTAAATGTTTACCTTGTGGGGACATTTGTTAGTTCCCCATGAGGAAACAAGCTTACAGATCATACAAAATAAAGTGTTCTGAAAATCTAAAAATGCCTGTAGTTTTGTGTGAGCTGTAGGCTTAGGGTAAGGTAAAATATTGTTATGAGCATTATGAGTATAACAGTTTACTAAAGAAAAGAAAATGGGCATCCATTATTAGGAGCTCTTTTTGTTTTATTGCAGTGAAATTATAGTTTCAGGCAGGTGACAGCCATATACTGTTTGTGTTAGAGGCTTTGTATTGTTAACAAAAGTGGTGTGTTCTGCTCTCAGTACTTGACAGTCCATAAACTTGTGAACTGACTTTCAGACTTGTCTTGTCTGTCATGTGTCCCATGACAATGACAAAAGGCACCTTAGTATTATTTCTACAATACATTCCTTTTATTTTCTATGGTTCAATACATTTAGTTATCCAAAAAATTGAAATCTTTTTCACACCTCATGTTATTTTCAGGAATTTTTCAATAGAATGAAAGCAAAAAAGTACAATTCAGAATAATCCATTCACTCCAGTATAGATGTGTTCTACAGGTACATGACTTAGTCTTTTACTTTTTCCAAACTTTTCTCAGATGGCCGATGACATTCTGTTCCATTTGAGATGTAGATTTAGCTGGAAGAACAGCCACCAGACAGTGAATCCTGTCATTTAGACAGGGATTTTCAGTTTTCTACGGTAATTGGACAGAAGCACTGAATATATTACAAGAATAGTTGTATTACAATTAAAGAACAACTGTAGCTCTCCCACGCAGCAACAGAGGAACTCTGGTCTTTTCCAGAGCGCTGTCTGGTTCGCCTCTTCTCCGGTGAGAGAATTATTTCCGAAGGATCATGTGACACTGAAGACTAGATTAATGATTCTGAAAATGGCTTTGCCACCACAGGAATTAATTATATTTTAAAGTGTATTAACCCTCTAAGTGCCAAAGTCGCAAAAATGCGACAAGATTAAACTTAATACTTAATTAAAATAAGTTATGATTCTCCCATGATTCTGAAAACAAAACATTGGACAACGAACACACAAAATATGTAATTTACTTTCGTAACATTAAAACATTTAGTCAGAAACGCGTCTATTTATAAATGTCTAAAATGTTATAAATTAGTCTATTTAAAATATGTATTAATTTAAATGAATTCATTATGTAAAAAATCATTTGAAATAAATAAATGAAGACTTGTTTCGTCCAGTTTTTGAATCTCTTGAATGAATGATTCAGACAGCATTTAACAGTCACTGTTCGCCACCTACTGGCAACATGTAACATATACAATCTTTATTTAAAGTGAATCATTAAATCCAAAGGCCAAATACCCATTTTGATCACGGCTGTCGCAACATCAGAGTTTATCCATATGTCTGCTCTTTTCTTACTCCCAGATATTGACATTTTGAACATTTTATGAGACGTGCAGCAAATGTATGCCAGCTTGTGTCCCACCAGATAGATCAATAGGCTATGTTACAGTTAGGGCTGTCACGATTATGACATTTGGCTGACGATTAATTGTCTAAAAATAGTCACGGCTATTGCGATTCATTGTCTGTTTTAGGGCTTTGGCGATTATGATGATTATCACGATTGTCAGTTTTTATTATATAATTGATTAATTTAAGGGTTCAGTAAATAATTATGTTATCTTTTAATCTTTTTGAGTTATTATTTTGCAGTGTAAGATTACATAGAGTATTCCAAATTCTATGATTCGGACAATACCAATCCAACACAGCGCTGTTTATTTATTTTTTTCTACACCACTATAGAATATGGTATTTAATACAGCATGTGGTGTGTGCCATGCCTAATCTTGTTAGTTTTTGTTAATGTTTTGTCGGCTAGTTTTTTCATTGTATCTTACTGACTTAGTGTTGTTGTTGTGCTTTTTAATTAAGAATAACAATGAATCCATCTTTTGTTTTAGTCCTAAAAAATGAAAGGTGTGTAGATGCATGTAAGCAAAACAGTGACAACAAGATTGCGAATTCGAAAGTGAAAGCATCCGAAGCCTGCGGCTTAACACAGCAAAAGAGAAAGAAACTCCCGTTCACAAAATTCAAATCACAAATAAATACTACTGATATTATAAAAAGATAAACCAGGGAATCCACATAATCCGCGATGATCACCTCCGTGTCACCTGTGGAGAGATTACCAGCACGACCCTTAACCCACGGGGTGGGGAACGGTCTGCCCATTAGTATTTCAAATGGAGACATCTTTGTTGGCGATGAGGGGGACATTCTTATTTCTGCCAACACTGCAGGTAGTACGTCGACCCAATTTCGGCCTGTCTCCATGCATGCTTTCGTAA